GTTATAGCCTTGCCTTGATCAAATCAATGGCTCTACGAATATCATCTACGCCCAGGCTCTTGCGCCACGAGTAACCGCAGGACCTCTGTATGAGCGCGCACCCGGTCTCCGGTCTGATGGCATGCGCAAGCGCGTCCCAGTCAAGGCCACCATCTGCTGCGAGCTACAACTGAATCCACATAAGCAACCCATTCAAAGCACAATGTAACAGTAACACGCTTGAGTAACAGAGGCAAAGTAACACAGAGTAGCACAATGTAAAACAGAGTAGCAGATGTCTGGAGGGGAATAATCAGCTCACCGGGACTTCTCGGTAGGTCACCCCAAAGTCCTTGAGCGATCCTACGTTGGCCGACCCCCTGATCCCGATGACCTCCTCCAGGGTGTCGTAGGGAGGCCCGGCGACCGCCAAGAGCTGTAGTAGGAGTTGTCTGTCATCAGTTCTCTGAGTCCAGCAGACACAATGCCAGAATTTGGCGTTTCGGTTCAGCCATGTCCATATTAATCACCTCGTGTCCAGGCCGCAGGAGCGCGAACAGAGCGCAGGCGATGGCGTGCGTGCCGGAAAAGAACTGCCAAACCAAGAAGTGTTCGTCACCGGGAGCTCAGGCTCAGGTCGTCAGCAGAGCGCGGCAACTGAATGTGGGATGGATGGGCAAACCTGGGGGCGCACGATGGCGGCCTCGGCGCCGACGACGTGGGCGAAGACGGAGTCGAGTGCCTCTCGGTTCGGTCAAGTCCATATTGATTACCTCGTGTCCAGGCCGCAATAGCGCGAACAGTGCGCAGGCGATGGCGTGCGTGCCGGAGAAGAACTGGCAAACCAACGAGGAAGAAGAAGAGCAGAGTTCAGTGAGAGCTCAGCTAATCAGTCGAGCGCGGCAATGGAATGTGGAATTGAGGAGAAAACCTGGGGGCGCAAGACGGAGTCGAGCGCCTCCCGGCCGCCGGCGTCGTCGTGGCCGTACCCCGTCGACCCACCGAAGTGCTGCAGTTTACAGGCCGGTGCCCACGCGTCAGTGAGCAGCAGGCAGCGAGGGTAAAGAGAGTAGAGAAAGAGCGGGGCGGAGGTCTGAGTGGTTACGTGGGGGGCGACGCGGGCGGCGTGGAAGGCGGCGGAGACGCGGGAGGAGTTGAGGGCGAGGGCTTGGTCCACCTCCCGGAACTCCGCCTGCAGCGACTCCACCGCGCGTGCCACCTCCGGGTGGAACGCGCACGCGCGCGGCCGCACCGTCCGCCTGCCGCCCCGCGGGGCGCGAGGCCGCCGGGCAAAGGGGGGGGAGGTCAGGGTGGCGGTGGCTGCAGCCGTCGACATCGCCGGCGGCCGGCGAGAGACAGCGACCAACACACTCCCACAGCTTCGGATGTCAAACTGTTTATCCTCGTCGCCCTCTTCGCCCGCTGCAGCACCCAGGCCCGGCCCAATGCTCTCCACCCAGGCCCAGCCGAACAAAAATCCAGCTGGGCCGACCAAGTTCTGGAATCTAGGTGCCTCAAAAAATCTCAGAAAAAAAATCTCAAAAAAAAAGGTACCTCAAATAAAAATCTGGTATTTAGGGGCATCGGAAATGTATGCGAAACCGGTTCTGGTATGTACCGTCGAACCATCCGTCGTTGACGCTTGCGTCAAGATTCGTGAAGAGGTCACTTAGGATTTACTTCTTCTTGGGACACAGCAAGGAATACGGAGGAATACGAAACGTGGGACCAGGGAAGAATAAATATATTGCATCTCACTTGATCTCTCTCTCTCTCTCTCTCTCTCTCTCTCTTCCCCTTTTTCTCTCCCGTAAGACGAGCCCTTGACTGGTGGCGAC